TAGCTAGGGTAGGACCATTGTGTGCAGGAATCTGAAGAATTATCCACCATTTGTTTTTTCTCTACCTGCTCTTTAAATAAAGCAGCCTGAAGAAAGACATGTAGGTTTTATAATCCTTGGCTGTGATTTTTGTTTTTAAGATTACTTTCTTTTTGTGTGTGTTTAAGTTTGTAATTTGTGTCAACCGAATTAAGACATGGCTGATACTTAATTCTTTGGATTAGAGCCAAAACTGATTTTAGTTCAATTATAGAAAGTTAGCAGCTATATCCTGCTGCAAAAATAGAAATGGTGCAGAAGATACTGTTAGGTGTGGACTAGATGAACAGTTGGGGGGGGGACAACTGTGATTGTTGTAGGATAAGCTCATGCCACTAGGAGCAAGAGCAGATCCTTGTTGACGTGCATTACCTTGGTTTCTTAGAGAGCAAAGAAAACACTACACTGCAGAGTGCACTGTGCAGGCTCTGACATGCATTGGGATATAAATTCTGAGCAAAGCTAAATGCTCATCTTAGTGTGGAACGTTGTTCTTGTTGGTTGTTCATTTCTGGCTTTTTTTCCTGTGGGAAAGGGGGATGGGGAAGAAATTGTTGAATATGCAAAGTGCTTGAAGTGTTTTGGGTTTCAGTAAGATGAAGGGTAGTGCTTACTGTACATCAAGTATCCAAGATGAAAGGAGGGTGCTGAACTTTATAATTATACCTCGGTCTATACCACGAAGTCTGAAAAAAAATTGCACGTTAGAACTTGCAGGCCCTAAATGAACTTCACGTTGCAATTTCATTTCTGTTGTCGTTCCTGCAAGATCCAACCAGTGGACCAGGAATACTGCAGAGGTCACACAAGGCGTGTTGATGCAGCCTGCTATGTGTAGTCCATTTCTAGCAGGAGCACATTTAGACACACATACACACAGGTTTTGTAAAGTAATTTAGGCTGCCAGAAGTTCCAGTGTGTTGTCTCTCTGGTAGAGCCTGGAACAAAACCATGATTAACCTAAGTTCTGTCAAAAAGCTCACATTCAATAGCTATGAATTAAATTTGGTTGCTTTAAATTTAAACACATTTGTATGTGTTTTTGTTTTTTTTTTTTTTTTTAATTTGTTTAGGTTTCTTGAGTTAATGTACATTTCTAAATCAAAGACTAAAATATGAGAAGCCTTAGCTGAGCTGGGAAGCCATATGTTCTCATGTGATACTCGGCAGTGCTGTTTGATGTATGTAATGTCTGAGTTTTGACCCTTGCCCTTGTAGAATTTTCCTCTTTACTCATGCTTCATTTGGAGCATTTGTAGCGTGGTAAATACTGTGGTTTGCATAGTAAAACTATTCCAGGTTTCTCTAAGCAGAGTGTTTTGGTTCATGCATATGTAAATTTATCTCGGTTGCTCATAGAAAATAGTTTGTGTGTGGGTTGGTTGGTTGGCTGTGTTGTCTGTCTTAATGAGGCAGCCATTTGGGGGGTTAAATCCTGCTAGATCCATGCTGGCAAGGAACTTGCAAGAATCCCCAAAGGGTACATTTCTATTCTTGCAAGTTTATTTATAGGATAAATGGTAGTTATCTCTTAGAATGACATGCATTAATTCTAAGATGCAAGACCACTGCCTGCTTCAGCAGGGGAACAGTTTTGGAAACATCATGGAAGTTAAATTTCAGGTACCAGGTGTTGTTGTTGTATGAAGGAAACGCAAAACTCTCCATTCAGTAGGATTTACTGCACATTCAATCTGTCTGGAGCTGTGTGAAATCAATCAGTGAACAGTTAAGTTAATACACAGGGTTTTTTCCCCCTATTCTTCCTATTATGTCAGAAAATAATACATGCCATTTAAAAAAAAAAAAAAAAAAAAAAAAAACAAAAAAAAACAAAAAACAAGTGTGAGAATTCTTCTTTTTTCCTGAAATTTGCATCTGTCATTTAAGCACCTCTACAAAGAAGCTGGACTATAAAAGCAAGTATTTGAAGAAACAGGTGCATTTAGGCAATCTGTCCAGATTTGTACAGACAGGGTTGGGTTTGACAGCTGGTTTACTATCTTCCTATTTTATGACTCCTTTTATTGCCTGTAGCTGCATTGAGGTTTGACTCACCCAGGTGTGTTGCAGGACAGAAGAGAAGGGAAAAAAAACATCCAAATTCATAGCTTTCTTTGGCTATTGGATTTTTGTCATGACAGTCATTTTAGACATTGTCCTTCATGGCTTTCTGTATTTTGTGATTTCTCCTCTTCAGAGTTTCACTGTTTTAAAGTAACATCCAAAGTTTGCATAGCCATAGTCTGTATAGTCTATGTGACTGCTTTTATAGTTAGATGAAGTGTAAGCTGTCTTATAAAACTGTTCTCCTGGAAGTAAAATAATAGCATTCTTTTCCAACATTTAAAAGTAATTCTCCTCAATCCAGGCTATTTGCATAGCAGCTACGTACCTAGGGACCTCGGCTGTTTTGCAAATATTTCTATGTTAAAAACCTCCTAGAAACGAGCTGCACTTTAGATAGGGGAGAATTTAATTGCCATGCTCTTCACTTTCATCCTCTCGTCCCCAGTCCTGTGTTTCCTAACTGACCTAGCTGGCGGTGCTGCGGGCTCTGCGATGTGCTGGAGTGATGCTCTTCAAGTTCCTTGAAGCCTTCTGTGCATTGCCTGTCCTGGACTGTTAAGGCCAAGCACAGGGACCTGCTTTCTTCCCTTTACTTTCCACAAAAAAAAAAAGAAATTACAGTGCCCTTGGAGCTGCTGTTGTCGTTGTGTGGGGTGTTAGAGCAATCGGATGGTTTTTAAGACGTCAGACGTGTAAAACAAAAAGGCTCCCCAAGCTTCACGGGAGAGGTAGCCAGTGTCTGGGTGGAAGGGGTTTCATCTCACAGAATGACTGAGGGGAGGTTGGCACCCCTACCAGCCTTTCGCTGTAAAAGCCAAACATGCTGGAGAGCGTCTTTGTCATCTCCCTCCCACTGGTAGGTCAGGACAGCTGATGGGAAGGCGCCAAGCAGAGAACATGGCTGCAGTCCCAGTCCAGCTGCTGAGTAGATAAAGAACACTTTTCTAGGGCTGTCGGTTGGCTTCTTTCACTTTTACCTTTGAATCACCTCATGGTGTGTTTTTAAAAGTATTTCTTGTGCTGCTTTGACAGAGACAGAGAGCTGTGTTTGTACGGGTTACTATCTACGAGCTTTGTGTTCAAAACTTAGAGTGTGCTAGACAAAGAGGGACTATCAGTCTGAACTTTGCATTTCTTGCGTTTCGCCTGTTTGAATCATACCATAAACTCTATTTAAAGATTTTGGGGTTTGTATTTATTTTCCACATCCTTGACCCTGACTGGTGAGCTTGGACGTTTGTGTTTACCTTGGCAGCCTTCAGTCTGCTCATCTAGGGCAGGGTGAAAACTCTTTTTTCCTTTTGTAAACAAACTGTTCCTTCAGTATTTTCTGTAAGGATTTACACCACCATTTTGCAACGCTTCTAGGAATTAAGAAAATCTTGCCATTCAGAGTTTTCGTTTTACACAGTTTGTAGCACTGCACAAGAATGTTTGATTTTGTATGTTTTCTGCATTTGGATATGAAGAGGTTTTGTCAGAATATTTTCAAATTCCAGAAACACTAATTTTGTCTTGAGGGGGTTGAGTAAAGCTATAGGTCAATACTCATTGTTGCCTGTGGATGTTGTATCCAATATAAAATGGATATACTTTAGCAAATTTGTCAGGATGCAAAACGAGAGAAAACTTAGTGGGCCGCTTTATGCCAGCACACAAGTGATATTTTGGACAAATGAGCTGAATTTCCTTTTCTACAGGGCTGATGTGCTGATTTTTGTCTAGGTTATCTGCAATAAGGGCCTCCGAGTTTTGAATGTTGCCATGCCACAGAAATGGCAAATCAAAAAGACTTGTCATGCTACTTCAGCAGTCTTGCTGTAAATTTAGGTAGGCTTGAAGTGCTTTAAGTCTGAGATGAAGTTTTATATATTATAAAATTGGTATGATGATATTATGGAATCCAATTCAAAGCTGAGTACCTATATTAGTCCTGATCCCAAGCTACTGCAAGCCCTGCCAAGTGGAAGGAGGGTGTTTACTATGAGCTATACCTCCAAAAAATTATAAAATGTCTTTTAGGAGTACCCATTTTTCTCTGAAAAAAAAAAAAAAAATACAGTTGCAGTATATATTCAGAATGTGTTCTCACCCTCCTAAGTAACTCTGCTTGCAAGTCCTTGTGTCCTTCCTCAGAACATGCGTTCTGCTCCGTGGAAACTTGCTATGACTTGGAATTCTCACCTTAGTATGTTCATGAGGATACCAGGTTCCTTCATGTTCTTTGAAAACAGTCACTGTTTCCCACCAATCTACAACTGCTTACTGAGCCAAGGGAGAGCAGCAAAGCAAAAGTACAATTATATTGTACTAAAAAAAAAAATAATCTTTGTGGTTTTTAAATTTCTTTAACCAACAGGAAAGTACAAATTAATATAAAACTTCTTGTCTTTGTGGTGCTATTTATGGGAACTAATATTTGAGTGCAAAATGAAATGCTGGGGAGCAATTAGTCCTTCTTGAACACCTTGAAATTTTTCTGCAGTGTGTTTAGTAAAGTGTGCTATTTCTTGTAAGTTATTATGCACATTAAGAATGTGGCAGCGAGTCAGGAAACCAAAACACAATGTCTGGGTTTTGGTCTATGGCTTACTGTAAATGATAAGAAATAGCAAAAAAATAAATAAATTGACAATTCAGGAACAAATGCTGCCAAAGAGATGTTAAAAAATACCCCCAGCATTGCAAATAATGATTAGTGGGTAGGTTGTTAGAGGAGAAAAATACTGGATTTTTCAGTATTTTTTACTAGCACTCCATTGGTGCTAGTCAACAATCCATAAAATGTTATTTATTCTTCCCTTTAAGTAGTAATGCTAATTTTATAAAGGTATAATTAAAAGCCTATTTGAACTCCACAAACTAAAATTACCTTTCCTTTTCTCTTGCAGATCTGGGACATGAGTGATGATGAAACAATCTGAAGAGCAGCTGAAGAAGGTGGAAGACAACTTACTTTGGACTGCAGCGCTGCCTTTTATCTGTGATTTGACAAGTTAATGATTGCTTACCCACTCTGACTGCTACAAATACAAATATAATCCACATTTTGAAGTTAAGAACTTCACCTTAAGAGCAGTCTGTTATGGATTGAACTCTCCACCTTTTCATTTTCATTATGTAAATAACTGAAGCAATGTGGTCGTGTTTAAGCCTTGTCCCCAAGTTTATAAATATGGCTTACATATAAAATATGCTGCTTAAGTAAACTTTGGTGTTTTATTTTTCCCAGTTTTTATTTTGCTTGTCAATGGGCATGTCCAAGCAGCATGTCTTTTTTCATCTTTCCCAGATTTGTGCCCCTTTAGTTGGAACTTATTGTTAAGATTGAGAATATTCTGCTGTTGGGAGTTAAACTGCATCTTTAAAGGAGAGCAGCAGTGGGTAAGAACCTACACCTACTGCCTACAC